TCATTTTACATATCAAGCTAAGTAGTCAAGACTTATCTAGTTATTTCCTTGAGATCTTTCTTCTTGATCAAATTGCTTTTGCTTGACCTTTTATTTTCTACAATGCTTTGGCATCATCAATTCTACAATGTTTCGGCATCATCGAAACTTTGTGCATATGTTCTTCCACAAACTCAATTTTACAAAATTGACTTATAAAGTGATAATTGTTCCTTACTTGTAAACAATTTGACAATCTCACTTGTTGATGTGTGATATCCAACATAGTCCCCTTTCACCAAGAACTGGACATCTTCATTTTGAAGTTTGCAAGATTAGGCATATGCAGGTAGTTTGATAATAGCCTGATAGCCGGTGACTTTATAAGCCTGCTAACAATCACCAATATAGGCTTTGATACCATTTTAAGAAAGTGATTTGGTGTCTAACTCAACCCAACAAAATCAACTTATAAAGTGATGATTACGCTTCACTTATATATAATTTTGGTTAACTTTAAAATACTTCATAAATCAATGTCACATAAAAAAAACATAATTATCATTAAAATGATTATAGTCGTTATTATGAGGCAACTTGTTTTGACCTTCATTGTGTTTCCTAATATTCATAATTAGTTCAAAGTTCTTAAAAGATTAGAAAATGAACTTGTATTTTCTTGTTTGTACTTGGTGATGAATAAGTGAAAGAATTAAAAAATTTGTTGATTACTATATGTTGAAATGATGCGTCGATTAGTTCTTTGAAATTTGTATCGATCATACTTTCTTTTACCTTTTAATAGATACGATTGTGTTGTCGTCCAAAGAGAAGGATCAAACATTGTTGAGGCACAGGTGCTAAAGATATAGCAAGAAGAATCTTCCATCTTTCAAAGTCCTCGAAAAGGTCTTTATACTGATTCTTTGCCCAAAATTGCTACAGGAAAGATTTTGCATCGTCTTGTGGAAGAACACTTCGTCTCTTAAATTTGAGCAACTTAAGTTCCCACCTTTGAAGTTTTCATACCTAGTGTCATCAATACACACTTGGAATCTCCACAATCTACACATTAAATTTTATCAATAATTTGGTAGCATGGCATTAAGAAGAGGATGGTATTTTTGCATATTAATGGTCTTTCATACATGATATTGTAGATCTTAATTTTCAATGATTCTTGTGAAATGTTCACAATCTAATGCTTTCAATGTGCTATAAATGTTAAATAATTGCTCAATCCATTTTTGTTTGCATCTCTAACTTCTTGAATCATGAGATGTGGGAAACTAAAAATTTAAAGTTCAGTTTTTAGGTAATAACAATGTATAAACATACAATTGAAATAGCCAAAGCACAAACGTTAAAGAATTATGATTTTGACGTATATGGTATTAGTATCAGTTTCAACACTGATATTCTTGTAAAGTGCAATAGACAACCTCACTTTCGAATTGTGATGAACACTTCGTTAATTTTTTCTCTCTCTTAAATATGTAAATATTTATTTTTCATCTTTCAATTTTAATACGTATACTTTTTGGTCCTCCATTTTATAAAATGTGTCAAAATTATCTTCTAATTAACATAGTTTATATTTTATTTTTCAAAATGTGTCAAAATTTATTCCCTTAATTAATACCGATAATTCAATTTATTGAATACCTTACAAATATGTAATTTTTCTCTCCTTAATCACTTCAAACAAAGAAACGTTCAACACTAGTGTTACAAGAATCAGACTAGCAAAGGAACTGTCAGATGAAGAGAAGTGTATAAGAATAAAAGCCCTAACATTGAAAAGAATGAAACATTGTTTTTGGGATAAACTATCATATATGGACCTTGAACCACTTAAGCATACATAAATCTCAGGTAGACATGTGTAATGACATATATTTTGTTGATTAAGATAATTGTTAAATTGTGTTAATAAAGTTAATGAAGAGAGTAAATTTTGTCACATTTTGAAAAATAGAGGATCAAAAGTAAATATTTTAAAATTGTTGGATGAAAAAAGAACATTTACATATTTAAGTAGACGAAAAAAACGTTTAACCTTATATTTAAAAGAAAAAGGGTTTCTAATATTATATGTTGAAATGAAGGGGGTTAGAAACACAACAAAAAATAAGGAGAAAGAAGCATGCCATGTCATGCTTATGCTTCTTTTCCATCATGCTCTTGTTCCTTGCCACCAATTTTGATGGAGTCAAACAATGTTTCATTGCCACGAACTATAGCCATGGTCTATCTCTTGGTCCTCATCCATATGTCAATGCCTCTTGTGATAATGCAAAGGTTCATTCACATGAAACTTAAAAAGATAAAAAAAAAAAAAAAACACAATACCAAACAATGGAATCAATACTCTTAGATGAATCGAATACATAAGTAAGTTGCACATTATAGCAAAACACTTACATAGGAAATGATAATGCTCATCGTACATAAGCTTATTTTCAAAGTGAGAAAGAGTAAGTTCATCCTTACAGTTTATGGAAATCTTAGCCAAATAAAACTCAAGAAGCAATCACATTTTAATGAGTGTTTTCCAAAATAGTGGTTTTGATTAGAAAATATTAGTAATTGTTAGTGCACATCCTTAATCCATGCTATCATGGTCATTCATCCATACAATTGCAATAGGCCAACTTTCCATTTAATGCAACTATTGTTAAAATGTTATTCATTCACAAATGGCCAAATAAGTCCCCAAACCATTATCATGAAGAAAGGCATTCCAACATTGCAAGAATATCATCTAGACTGAAATCTATGTAGGCACCTTTTGAACAAAGTATACATGCTCAATAATAAACTACAGTACTGAGGAGGCAGAGAACAATTTAAACACTTGGAAAGGTATTTATGTAGAAAGACACAAAAATAAGATTAGATTAAGACCAATATCATATCAACAAGTAGAACAAATTTCAACTATTACTTAAGCTTATTCCTCAACTTCATAATCATCTACAGTTGAATGTAGGTTTTGCTGGAATTAAGGGACTAGAGTTATAGACATCTAACTACTAGTGCAACAAAGCCTTTCTGTGGAACAATGTTGATTTGAGGTAGAGTTAGCCATAAACCTTGACAAGGGAATGTAAGACAAGTTACTCCACTCATGGTAGCTGAACAAAAAAATAAAACAAACCAACCAAATTTCATAAAACAATCATATATAAAGGTGAAATAAGAGATGAAACACAGGTTCCCACCTAGTAAGATTAAATATGCAAAAGTTGATATCACAGCGAGCCTCATTACCAAAACCATGCATTCATCGACATTCTTAACTAGTTGGTGAATGGAGAGTGTTCCATTGTAAGTAGAGCTGTCAAAATGGGCTTGGCCCGGCGAGCCAACCCGGCTCACCACGGGTTCGAGCCGGGTTGGGTTAAAAAAAATTTGAAAATTTTAATATGGGTCAAATTTGAACCCAGCTCACCACCAACCCAGGCTGGCCCACCAACCCGTGATTAAATTTTTTTTTTTGAAAAAATACAATAATTATTGGGTCATGGTGCAGTCTAACACGAGACTAATAATTTAATGTTGGATTGTGATTTGTAATTTTTGTGATTTTGGATTGTATTTGAAGTTTAAGATAATTTTAGATTATATTTATCTATTTGAGATTATTTAGATTTGATTTGATTGTATTTAAAATTATCATTTAATGTTTGGGATGAATAATTCATTTAAGGATGTCTTAATTAAGAATCTTAGATTTTTAAAATAAGTTTAAATTTTGGACTTTAGTTGTATATTAAGAAAAAAATTGAAAAAAATTATTTTTTTTTAAGGTGAGCCAACCCGTGGTGGGCCGGGCCGGGCTCAATTTTTTTGAGCTCACTGATAAATGAGCCGGGTTGGGTTGGCCCACCAAATGGCCAACCCGTGGTGGGCCCGGCCCGGCCGGGCCCGGCCGGGTAGCCCGTTTTGACAGCTCTAATTGTAAGGTTCAAGTTCAACAACAATTTTGAGATACCTTAAGGAGAGGGGAATACAAAGAAGGAGAGTGTTGCATTATCAAACATCTCGTTCTCATCAAAGTTCACATGTTTTTCCAAGTAACTTTTAGTCATTCATAATCAAACATCTCATTCTCATCTATTGATACAATGGGTTATCACTTTTCTAGAATATCTTCCTATTATGGTTCTTGAAATTAGATTTTGAAAAAGGGTGATTATGAAATTACCTTTCAATAAGTTGAACAATTTCTTACTTAAATTGATGTAACCTGAGTGATGTACTGAAAAATAGGTCCAACCAAAGTTTTAGATTGTTGAAAATACGTGTATATATATGTTTTATTTAGTTTTGATTACTTGTTGAAAATGTGATCCAATACATGCTAACTAGAAGACATAAACATTTCTTCTGTGTTCATGGGGTTTGCCTACTTGGTTACTTCTATCTTAAAATTTTGTTTACCTTTAAGGGCTTCCTAAATCTTGTCCAATAGAAACTCTAGATAAAAGCCTAAATTATGCTTCAAAAAGAAGAAAATTCTAGGGAAGTGTAAGATGCAATCATAATTGGATTTGATGGAAATGGTTATAATACCTAATAATAAGTGACTTTAAAATCTCATTTCAAGAAAGCTTCAAGCATGGAGGATCAATTTCAAAGAAACAAACTTAAAATCTAGAACAGATACAAATATATATAGATGCAATGCTAACAATGCCCATCATACAACTGTTATCCATTAGATAGAATACAATACTGAATGTTGGAACATAATATTACGCTATGTAACTGACTTAACCCATGGCTTCAATGAGAAAATTTTAACCAAGAGCACTAAAAATTTCAAATTTAATCCATATGATCTAATGTTTGCTAACAAAAGATTAGAACTTGTTGATCTTCTTCAACCACAAAATTAACTAATATTTATCTATAATAAGTTTAATATGCAATTCTTTAACTATGCCACAACATAATTTACATAAGGCTTTAAAATTTGAAAAATCAAATAGAACAGAAATGGGTAGAAAAATTGATCAATCAACCAATATAGTGCAAATCAAGTCAACTTCAATGTTACATGACAATTTTACTTTTCACAACATTAAATAATGACACTACATCAACATAATATTGAAGTTTGAACCACACATGATCAAGGAAATCAAAATAGGCATATCGCCATGATTTACAAATGAGCAAAGGACCAATAACTATCCAGAAGCCCATAATAAATCCAAATGTCATACTGACAAAAAACCATTTCACTTCATGCCTGTGACTCTCTTTGCCAATGTGATCATAACTAGGATTTTTTCCAATGGAGCTGCAGTTGATAAGTAATGGTGGGCCGCATAGCTTGTTGCCAATGAAGTTGGAGGCATCAAAGGTTTGCACTTGAGTTCCTGTTGGAATTTTTCCCTTCAAATGATTATAAGACAAGTCTAGCATGCTCAGAAAGCTCAAATTTGAGATGGTTGGAGGGATATCACCAGAAAGTTGATTGCTAGAGAAATCAATGGTTTGTATTGATTTCATATTACCAATACTTTGTGGAATATGACCAATTAATTGGTTGTGAGACAAGTTCAAGAAAATCAATTCATTTAGGTATGTGATTTCTCTAGGTATTTCTCCTGATAGTTTGTTATTTGATAGATCAATGTTTGTTACCAAACCAAGAAAGCTTTTGTACTCATCTTCTCTTCCTTTCAACCAAAGGGGCATACTTATAATACTAGATCCCGAATAGGAATAGTCAAATGTTTGGATAAGAGGATCTGTACTTTTATTCATTATTGTCATTGCATTCAAGTGATTGAAACAACTAGGTATATTGCCAGACAATTTGTTATGTGCAAGGTCTAAAACTTGAAGATGACTCATACCACATATTTCATTTGGAATATGACCTGAAAAGTTGTTAGATCGAAAGCCAAGAATTCTCAAATTTATGAACCTTTCTCCAACCCACATTGGAATAGTTCCTGTAAGATTATTTTCCCCAAGGTCCAAGGATATCAATTGGATATTCTTCTTCAGAGTAGTAGGAAGTGTTCCTGAGAGTGAGTTGTTACGAATTTGTAAAAACTGCAACTTAGCTAAGGAACCTATTGATGGTGGCAAGTTCCCAACAAAAAGGTTACTTTGTAAATTTACATCCAGTAAAAATGGCCAGATCTTCCAACAATCAGGAATTTGTCCTGACAAATTATTTGATGCAAGATTGAGAAGTTCCAAATGCATTGGCTTATCAAGATTTTTACATAAAAAATCATCCATGGATCCAGAGAATGAATTGCTTGAAAGATCTAACCAATACACATTATTTGAAAGATAGGGTAATTTACCACATAAATGATTTGTATTCAGATCAACTGTTATGGTCGATATTGGATTCCTCAATGTAGTTGCAAGCTCACCGAAGATATGATTATGAGAGAGGTTTACATAAGAAGCTTGAGAGAATGTTCGCCAAAACCAAGTGGGGATAGAATCTAAAATTCCTGTGTTAGAGATATCTATCCCTTGAGGTTTGTTTTGTGACAAAAGCCATGATGGAAAGTTGGGACCTAATTGCCATGAGCTCATATCCAAATAAGTAAGTTGAAAGCTTGGATGCCAATTAGGACCCACTTTTAAAGTCAAATTGCTCCCCCGTGCCATAAAATACTTTAATCTCATAAGATTTGCAACATCATCTTCCTTGACAATTCCTTGAAAAAGATTATCAAAAATGCTAAGATATGTCAAATTAGAGAGTGATTTGAGACTTTCAAATGGATTTCCTGTGAAGTGGTTTTTGGACAGCAAGAGAGCTTTCAGTGATGAAAGTTTACCAAATGATCTTGGAAGTGCACCACCAATTGAGTTGTTGGAAAAATCTAGCCTGACAATATTTTTAAAAACCCCAATTTCATCTGTCAGATTGCCTGAAAGTTGAGAACTCTGGAGTCTCAATGTTGTGAGTCCGTGGGAAATACAAGGAGCAAGAATTTGTAAGATTTCATTGACTTGTTGGTTGAGTTTAAGATATGAAGAACCTATCTCCCTTAGGTTGCAGAGATTACCCAAAGAAGTAGGAATTTTTCCTTCAAGTTGATTATATGATAAATGAAGTCCAACCAGAGAAGTCAAATTTCCCAAGGCATTAGAAATAGACCCATTCAAGTTGTTGTATTCTAGGTTCAAGAACTTGAGATGACCAAGACTGTACAATCCATCAAGTATAGAAGACGACAATAAATTTTCAGACAAGTCAAGATTTTGAAGAAGTGTGAGGTTTTGAATACCATCAGGAATTGGACCTTGGATATTGTTACCTCTTAATTGAAGAGAAACAAGTTTGGCGAGTCCAAATATCCACTTCGGGACAAATGAAAACAGAGAAGTATCGGACATGTCAAGAGTGAGGAGTGATGTGAAGTTAAGTGCAGATGGTTGACTATAGTGAGGGAGAGGGAGTCTACAACCTCGCAAATATAAGTGCTTCAAAGAAGAGAGAGATCCGACAGCTTGCAGCCAATGAAATGATTTGGATAGGTTTGTATATCCCAAATCAAGATATTCAAGCTTGGAAAGACTTGATAGCCAATCTACATTTTGAGCAAACAGAGGTTCATAAGAATGAGTTCTGAGATTAAGATAAAGCAAATTGGAGAGATTTCCAATCTGAGATGGAATAGTTCCATTGGCAGCAAAGCTGAGGTCAAGATACATCAAATTGGATAGATTTCCAATCTGAGGAGGAATCTTCCCTTGGAATCCAGCAAGAGAGAGGTTGAGGTGAGTTAAGGAAGTCATTGTCCAAAGAAAAGCAGGAATTGGCGTACCTTGTCCAAGTAAATAATTGCCGCTCAAGTCCAAGTAATTCAAATGCTTCAAATCACCCAAACAAGGATTTATCTCTCCACCAATCTGGGATCTCTCGTAAGCCACGATAGCTTCGTAATATGCTTCTTCGTCCTCGAATATAAGGTCATCGAATTCATAATATTCATATATTTCAGGTGTAGGTGGAGAAGTGTTGAGGTGAAGCTGTAGAACGTGGGCAGTGACGTTGTTGCAGACAACTAGAGGCCATTGGCAACAATTTGAATTATTATGATTCCAAGATGAAAGCCTATTTGAAGGATCTTTGAGATGATGCTTCAACTTCATAAGTGTTTCTCTCTCACTTGGGATGCACTCTATCTCTCTGCAAACACCAAAACCTAACGTTAATAACCAAACACTCCAAATAATCCACCAATTCATCATCACGCAACCAATCTATTATAATTGCTTCTTGCTTCGCCATATAACACTCATCTATATATTATTTATAGTACAGCGCAGTGCCTGCTCTTTTCTTTTTATGTTACCTTCTTCTGTTTCCAATTATTCACCTACTATCTGTAATTTACTAAAATTATCGGCGTTTTATATCATAAAGATATATATTTTGATTATAATAATAAATAAACCAAATAACTAACAACATGGAATGCAAACAAATTCTCCTACTATAATTTTGAGTAATTATATGTGATCTTTTATGTCATTAAAAATTGAAAAAGCATGGAGTATTTAGTATAATAGAAATAATGTATTTATTTCAATACATTGAATTTTCATTTTTCTTTTAATTAAAAAATTATCCATAAACATGTTTCTACATATATATATAACCACATAAATGATTT